ACTGTTGTGCATCATCGCTCAAATGTCGCCTTTAATCTACAAATCACGGGCTGCTTCCCTATTTTCTAAAACTAGCAAAAGCCTAAGAAATAAAAACAGTCAACCAGCAAATGAGAAACAGTAGCCACAAATCTGAAGAACACTGCCAGAGTCCCTCTCCTGGGCCACTCCCAGGGAAGGAGCATCCTTGGGAACTGCGACTCTGGGCTCTGGAACAGGGTTGGGGGCGGGGCTTCCCTGAGGCCACACCCCTCAGGCTTTGCAGCTGACCCAGGTCGGCAAGCTGCTGCTTCCCCGAGACCAGGCCTGCCCTTGGGCTCTGGTCAGAAGGTAGAAAGGGAACAGCGGCTTCCAGGAGTGGGCACCAGAAACCATCCCTGAGGACTAAGGTCTCAAGGACAATCCACAGTGAGGTTAATCTGCCTGTGGTTAAGAAAGAGAAGCTGGATAATTAAATGTGTAGTCAGTCATAGGCATGGTGTGCTTAGAATTTAAAAGCCTAAAACCTTTTCTCAGAGCTATGAGATTTCATCATTTTGAAGAATCTCATTTCACACAAATTAACAAAGAAACAAAAATTCATACCGGGAATTCAAAGAAGGTGTAGAAATTTTTCAAAATAAAAATAAATAGGAAGAAAAAAAACTAAAGAGGAAGACGAAATATACTCATTCTGTCAGGCCTCTGAGCCCAAGCCAAGCCATCGCATCCCTGTGACTTGCACGTATATGCCCAGATGGCCTGAAGTAACTGAAGAATCACAAAAGAAGTGAAAATGCCCTGCCCCTGCCTTAACTGATGACATTCCACCACAAAAGAAGTGAAAGCGCCCTGCCCCTGCCTTAACTGATGACATTCCACCACAAAAGAAGTGAAAAATGGCCGGTCCTTACCTTAACTGATGACACTACCTTGTGAAATTCCCTTTCCTGGCTCATCCTGGCTCAAAAAGCTCCCCCACTGAGCACCTTGTGACCCCCACTCCTGCCCACCAGAGAACAACCCCCTTCGACTGTAATTTTCCTTTACCTACCCAAATCCTATAAAACGGCCCCACCCTTGTCTCCCTTCGCTGACTCTCTTTTCGGACTCAGCCTGCCTGCACTCAGGTGATTAAAAAGCTTTATTGCTCACACAAAGCCTGTTTGGTGGTCTCTTCACACGGACGCACATGACACATTCCTCATACTGAAATGATGGTTTTTAGAACGAAAATTATAACATAAAGCTTAAGGCTTTGTCTTATTAAAGACAGGCAATCTTAAAAGTAAAATATAAAAACTCCATTTATTGTTATTCTTTACCTTTTTGACAGCAAAATTAGTCATATTTTATTGTATCTTAATAGTAAAAGAAAAATTACCATGCACTACAGTCTACTGTTCCACTATAAATGATGTCTACTAAAATATACATTAGTTTCTAGATGCACTATATTTGGAGTTGTTCAAAATGGTTTTTCTTAAGACTGTAAGTAAGCCTCCTGATCACGAGGTCAGGAGATTGAGACCATCCTGGCGAACACGGTGAAACCCGTCTCTACTAAAAAATACAAAAAACTAGCCAGGCGAGGTGGTGGGTGCCTGTAGTCACAGCTACTCGGGAGGCTGAGGCAGGAGAATGGTGTGAACCCGAGAGGAGGAGCTTGCAGTGAGCTGAGATCCGGCCACTGCATCCCAGCCTGGGTGACAGAGCAAGACTCCGTCTCAAAAAAAAAAAAAAAAAAAAAGCTCAGTGTTTTGCATACTTTTACCATTTAAAAATATTTTTGCTTTAGTGTGAGGATAGTAAGGATGGGCAAAGAGGTGATCAAAATAGCTATAGCTATGACATTTTCGAAAACAAAGTGGGGCTGTATTTCTTTAAAAAGATAAGCCTCTAAAAATGCTTGGCTGAAAAAGTATAGTGTTAAAACAGGCAGTGATATTAATGAGAAAATGAAAGTATGTATCAGGAATAAAGTGATATTGCATAGGAGTATTGTATTTTTATGAATTTTATACCAGTTGTTTACATGTACTATATATGTTAAATTTTTTAAAAAATGAAAAATTAGGGAAGTATTTTTCTTGATTGTTATTTTCATTTCCACCTTGATTGTGATCAAGTTCGGCTTCATTTTGTAGTCAGATAGCCATGAACTGGTTTGAGTCAGATGGCAGTCCTGAGAAGAGAGGGAGGGATCACAACAGTGGGGGTAGTCTCTTTGGTCTTGTTGTTGGTAGTGGTAGGTACTGAGAGTATCCAAACGTTTCCTGTATTTATGGTATAGTCACTTACATTCCTTTTTCCTTTTCATCAAGGGACACAATAATTCATTCAAACTATATATTGGGAATAATTAAAGAGTTGCTAAAAGTTGCTTTAATGTATTTAAAAAATACACTGGTATCAAAATTTTCTAAATTGTAGCTCAATGTTTTACTTGATACAAACATCACTTCTTGGTTCTTTCTCTGTAAGAAAGACATTTCAGCTCTCTTCATTCCTGTGTAATTAATTTCTTAACACAATGGCACCTTGATTCTGACATCTTTGGGGAATGAGGTGTTCTAATACAGTGGTTCTCAAAATTAGCAGGCATCAGCAGCACCTGGAAGGCCTGTAGCTTGCTGGGCCCCATCATAAGGGTGTCTGATTCAGTTGGCCTATGGTGCAGCCCCAGAACTTGGATTTCTTAACAGTTCTCAGGTGGTGTCGATGCTGTTAATCCAGGGACCGTACTTGAGAGCCTCTGCTCTAATCAATGGGAACAGACTGGCTGGATGACTGGCCTCCAGGGGGCGCTCCATGCCTGACAGCAATCCCACCAGAGCTGGTTGATGGACACTCTACCAGGAGCTGAATTTTACCACGTACCGTCTTTGCCTGTCAGGGGGCGCTGCTTCAATGAAACTTGCAAGGAGCAAAGAACAGATTAGGTAATTTTTAATTGGAACACTGATATGAGTTATAGATTATCTACATATTTTGAAGCTGCAAACTGCACCTTGTTTCTTTTCAGTTCAGAGATGAAAAAGGAGTGAAAATCCTTGAAATAGAACTTCGTTTTGTAGGATTACTTTGTCTAGAAGATAATAGATAAATTCAGTGATGTGTGGGAATTGCAAAAATTCATTTTCCACTTTATTACTTTTGTTTTGGCACCAGAAATTCGAATCTTCTTCCTTTGTTAGAGGTCAGCCAATAATCAGCGCTAGGTCACAGATC